ACCAAGGAGGCCAATTAACTTTCTAGAATCCGAGGTTACCCAAGTTTACTTTAACTAAAAGTAGACCAACTCTTCTTTTGGGTCAAACCATATATATTACCGTACATAAGACAGCTTCTTTGTGATTTAGTTTTGTTCCCAACTTTATTTTTTGAAAAATGCTACAAAGTACATAATAAATGTATATAGAGGTGTACATAACACTCACATGCAGTGAGGTCCAATTAATTTTTTTATTTTTTGTGAGTCCCACTCAATGTGAGTGTTATGCACACCTCTATATACAATATTATGTATCTACAACATATATACGTGTTTGGTTAAATTATTATTATACTTTTTCTACATGCATACGTGTTTTTATATTAAAATGTCATTCTAAAAGAAATATTGACAAAAGTATGAGTTTCCACATAATAAATATGTAATTTTATTAAAAAAACATAAAAGAAATTGACCAGCCGAATGATTATACTTCTCACACAAGAATTTATAATATGAAAAAATGGCACTAGAGAAAACTCAGTCTGCGCTCAGCCTTATATTTTGGAAGCTCTAAACAAATGTACTGCTTACAGTTTTTGTCAACTGGTGAACTCGCTTAATTGCACTCCATGAATACGAGCATATGGTCCATTGACCAAAAGTCAACTCCCAAGTCAATAATCAATTTGCCTAAAGCTCAATTTATTATCAATGCAGATGGCAGTGATCACTGTCAATTTGGAATTTAATTTCAAAATTTGCTATGTTTCTTAGCAGTGTGAGCAAAATATTTGAAAGGATTTATAAGTTTTTTTTTTTTTTTTCAAAGACAAACAACCAAACTTTCATTTAACTCAAAAAACGAGTACATCCGGACAACCAAATTACAACATATATAGGTTTATGTTTATGTAACATCAAAAGTGTTACATAATAATACTAAGGTAATACTTTTGACAGTTTTTGGTAACATTTATTTGACGTGTTATATAAAATAAACTTGTATAACACCTTGATGCATCACTTATTAAATGTTATTATATAAATGTTAAAAGGCTTAATTGCACATAAAATCCACACCTTTAATAGAATTGCATATAAAACTCAAGCTTTCTAACTTTACAAATAAATACTCCATTTTTATTATGTGTTGCGAATTTGTCTCAGAATCAATTGCCGGCAACTCCGAGCTGACGTGTCCGATCAAAGTTATTACGTGGCATTTATGTTTAATTGTGTGGCACCATTTTGCCACATCACTAGTAAACGACGCCGTTCACTGCTGCTTTAACTTTAAAAAAGTCAATCTCTTGCAAACATAAAATCCAACACAACAAATTGAGAAAAATTGGCCAGAACATTCATTTCACATTTTGAAAAAATTGGGGAAAATCGACTCCCATTTTCTGGCTTGTGGAAAACTTTCATCTGTGGAAGAATTGTCCGGCCAAACCACATAGGAAGCTTCTGTTTCCTCAATTACTATCCTAATTCTATTTTTGCATTTTTAAGGTTTCTAGTATGAGGGGGTTCCAATTTTAAAGCTTCGTTGTAATTCTTTCATACATTAGGGTAAGAGTTTGGGATTGTTTTATCCTTTTTATTTTTTATTTTTTTTTTTATTTTTTGTAATTGAGTTTCGCCTAATTTTCAAGTTTTGCCTTTTGTAATTACCATCAAGTATTGGTAGGCTCACTTAAAGTTTTTAACTGACAAAATTTATCAAAAAAATCTTATGCCTGAGGATTCAAATAATTGTACTTATATGCCAAGGACGTGATAATTAAACTATCCTGACGAATGAAGTTTACAGACAAACATGCTTTCCTTTTTATGTTGAGTTTCATCTGATTTGATGAATCTTATGGAGTTGAGATGGTAGCTTCATCTAATGTGTTTTTGGGCTTGGAGGAGAAGAAATCGTTCAGGGATGTGTGCTAATTAAATCTGATGTGCTTGAACATCAATGCCACGTAATAATTTTGATCGGTCACGTCAACTCATAGTTGCTAGAAAATGATTTTGAGACAAATTCGAAACACATAATAAAAGTGGAGTATTTATTTGCAAAGTTAAAAAGCTTGAGTTTATATGCATTTCTATTAAAGGTGGGAATTTTATGTGCAATTAAGCCATGTTAAAATGATAAATTCACTACTAACTCATCTCAACATCCACTCACACTTTGTTCAGCAACTCGAATGCAGCCCAAGCTCCAACCCATATTCATTCATGTATTATAATATAAATAAATAAATAATAATAATAAAAAAAAAAATAATAAAAAAAAAAAAAAAACAGTTTTGAATGTTGTCATACTAGCATTAAAAAACAACACGTCCTCATAACCATAATAACGATTCCTCAAATTCCAGAAAAAACATAACCGACGTTTCTTTCAATTCTACCAAGGGCTAAGATCATCAAATCCCTAAGGTCAATACTCCTTTAGGCATAATATTGTTTAAGAGCTAATTATTAAGCTTATGTACAAAATGCAGATACAGAGAAGGTATCTCGAGTAGATGATGGCAGGAGTTGGTTTTTTCAGAGACCAGAAAATTATGATGAAGCCAAACCTTGAAGTCGGGCCAGGCCTGAAGATGCTTGGCCATTGTTGGAAAGCTTATGTCTAACCCATATATAGGAACATGGTGTATAAGAATCAGGTCGGCCCAACTAACCCAATTCAACTCACGGGGCTAAAAGAGTCGGCCCAAGCCTTTCTGTGGGCTGACCTGTGTCCGGCTCATAATTTGCAGCCGTAAGTGTTAGAATCTTATGGACCGCATAACTGAATAAGAAGAAACAAAGCAAGCAATCAGGACCATGGAAATTGAAAATATCAAAACTAGGGCCAGATTGATTCATATAATTCAGCACAACTGAACTGAACCACTTCAAGGGACCAAAATGAACCAAATCCCATTCCAAGACATAAAGAGCGTAAAACAATAATAGCCAAAATCGAAGGCATCTTTGCATTAAGCAATACAATTTATTTGTATTAAACGTTTATGAGAAAAATATGTCATAATACAGTTGAAATTTTCATGGACATATAATATACAAAACACTCAGCCATGTTTTGGCCCAGACATCATCGTACGCTGGACAAATTGAACATTTTATTATTATAATCAACAATAAAAATTACCCAAACACATTGTCCTCATATAAAATGTGCTTCCCTCCACAAATAACTCTTAGGCGCTATTGCCAGTTGCCTTGGGCAAAGAAGTGAAACTAAACCTAAAATCAAACACAAAGTACAAATGATGGAGCAAAACAAACACGTTAAGGTTAACTCGAAAATAGAGCTTTTCATTTCGACAAGTCAAAATTTTCAAAATTACTGATAATCCCCTCGACAATTACATGTTTTTACTAAATGAGCAGATTGTAGAGGGATTACCAGATTCTGGGTTTTTGAGCAGGCACATTTGCTGGCACAGATGCAGTTGCACTATAGATCATGACTCTAGCCTACGGTCCTATTGATGTAATAAAAATTGTACCGTTCTATAACAATATTTTATTGTGTTATTCCATTAAGAATATTTTTTTTTCATTCTTTTTTTCTGTTGTTTACTTAGATCACGTTGAAACTACGAACTAGATAACATAAGTTTTAACCTATAATAAATCAAACCTCATTCACTTTAGAGAGCAACTTTCTTTCACCATTGTTTTTCTACACAGTACCAAATTTTAACTTGAAGAAGGAAAGACCAACAAAATCAAATACACAACTAGATTTCAAGAAACACAACTGAAGGAATCAACATAACATACCACATAACAGCAGACACAAAATTGTTACTGAATGTTATCATTCCTAATTTTTACTCACATGTAAAGCTAATCGTACAACTTAGAGACAACACAATTGAAGAGAAATAACTGAACACACCAAAAATCGACAAGAATATATATATAATTACGTGATTAGTTTATATGGCATCAAACATGATGTTTTAATTGTACTTTTGTTGTTTAACCAAAGCTAACACATTGACAAAATACAAAAGGATATGCTTGTAGATAAGTGATACCTTGGTTGTTGAGTAGCTTCTCAAAGAGCAGCTGCTTTTTCGCCAAACTATGTGATGTTCTTTCTGAAACGTTGCTTATATGGAAATGGATGCCAGAATCTCCTTCGTTGACATCAAAATACCATCAAACAAGTCAGAGTGATGAAATATATTGCACTCCTTCAAACAAAGCGTAATGATAATTAACCTGAAATAGAAGGCTTGTCTTTTCAGCTCGAGCAAGCCTTTCTATAATTCTTAACAACAGAGTTTCTTGCCACAGACAAAATTGTACCTTTTTAATCAAAAATATTACAGATCACGACTCCACAAACATAAAAAAATAAAAATAAAAATAAATNAAAAAAAAAAAAAAAAAAAAAAAAAAAAAAAAAAAAAAAAAATTAAAATTGAACCTTTTTAATCAAATTTTTGACACCCCATACAAATAAGCTGCTCGAACTTCGATCGAAGCAATTCCACACGCAAACATAAAACTTCGATCGAAGCAGATGTGCCGGCGATCTGACCTATGTACTCCAGATCGATCCTTGCCGTGGGAGATGAAGCTGGCGTGAGATTTCTTTTCTTCGTGCTAGGGTTCGATTTCTGAGGATGAATAATGCGAAAATTTGATTATATATTGGTAGTTTTTAGGCGATCAAGCTGATTGAATGGTCCAAGTGTCCAACGTATAATTAAAAAAGAAATAATATTTAGATGCTAACCTAATTCAACTCAAATTCTAATATTTGTATAAACACAAACTCTGAGGCCTATTGCTCAGTTGTAAATATATCCCTTTCCTGGCCAGGTTATTATATTCGACCTAAATCACTATAAATAGTACTCATATATGTTTAATCTTTATTAAGAAAATAACAGTCATTTTTTTATAGCTCTATGGAGAAAAATAACAATAGCAACGAGCAAAACCAGGCAAAGGATGATGGAGCTTCAAATATGAGACAAGGGACGCATGAATTGGCTTCAACATCGACACAAAGGTCGCGTTTTCCACCAGGCTACCGTTTCATGCCCACCGACCACGAACTCATCGTTGACTACTTGATGAAGAAAGTCAACAATGACCCAATTCCAGTTGATGAGATGAGTGAAGTTGAACTTTACCTCTGGTCTCCTGAGTCCCTCGCTGGTAATTTTTAATTCTTTTTTTTTTTCCTTTTTATCATTATTAGAGTTTTAGCATTATGTAGTTGTTTGAAGCAATGTAGTAATACTTCCATGTTTTTTGTGTTCTTTTTGTGATGCAATTATTAGTTCTTTTGGTACTAGCTAGAATATTAATTTTATTTTTTAGTTGTTTGTTTGTCATGCTGATGAAATTCACCTGTACTCAGCGAAGTTATTTTTGTTGTATTGAACTAGCATGTGAAGAGAGAAAACATATATAGATGTTATCAAATCAATTGCTGATGAAAAGAGTTGATGAACATTAAATTTGGATATGGGGTTTAAGTTAGGTCAATGTTTTGTGTTTAATTAACAAAGTAATTAATTACATCCAATTCATACTATTATTCAAATTCCAATTTTTATTTCAGTTTTTATTTTGGGTGATTGAGGGCAAGTTTACATTACTACTTGAAGATATAATGTTTGAACATTGATTGATGTTGTGTGTTTCAAATAATTAATTTGGGTTTTTATTGAAGAGATATACCCTCAACTTGGGGACAAAGAATGGTACTTCTTCACTCCGCGTGACCGTAAGTATCCTAACGGGAGCAGGCCGAGTCGGTCAGTCAAAGAAGGAGGCTATTGGAAGGCTACGGGTGCCGACAGACCAATTTTCTCAGGTAGTGGCGAAATAATCGGAAGGAAAAAGGCTCTTGTTTTCTACATGGGAAATCCAAAGCCAGGAGAAGGAAAAAAAACCAATTGGATCATGCATGAGTACAAGCTCAACACTCCTTCCAAGAGCCCCAATTGTAATGGTATGAGGGTAAGTGCATGCCTGCTCTTTTTTGTGCACTCAATATCGGTTTTTCATTAGTTACAAAATATAGTCAAATATCTTTTACGTGGTGACAATAATAACCATCAGCTTTACGAATTGACAATAGTATCCAATAACATTTAAATTTTTGGATTTAATTACCCAACTACAGCCAAATTCAAAGGCTATTATTGCCACAGTGTAGAAAGATACTGACTATATCTCTTGCAATTTATCTGTCGAATTTAGCCGGATTTGAGTAATAACCTTAAAATTTTAAAGGTTGTTGGATTCTATTGCTAATTTGTAAAGCTCTATTTTTGCAATATAGCCTATATGTAGGGTAATTTCACTTTATGTCAATTAATATGCATAAACGTCTTGAGGGTGTTTGGTCATTCTATGTTTTACCAATTTAATTCTTGTAGATTGTTTTTGGAGTTCATTCTTGTGTTTTAACCGCCTCTTCTTATTTTTGTATAAAAAAATTTTGGGTAACATAAATTTAGTATAATTAACTTGAATGATTGGTGCAGTTAGATGATTGGGTCCTATGCCGGATGTACAAAAAGCCAGAAAGGTCGAATAAAAAGCAAAGGGATGTCGATGACAGTGTTCCTGACGATGAGGAGTCCAGCATGTTGGAGTCCCCATTGTTAGGCGATAGCAGTGAATTGGAAGACGACAACAAAGGCAATATTGTGATCATGGAAGATGACAACAAAGGCATTGTGGTGATGGAGCAAATGGCCGAACAGAGTCCGATGATCACGAGCAATGATAATGGCATTAGAGATGTGAATGTTTACCACCAAAACCAGTTGTTGTCGGATAACAGTTACCAGTTGTCGACTAACAGTTACAGCATGAACTTCCCATACGTAGCCGACGACATGGTGCATGGGGGCACGAGTTTTGGTAATAATATTGAACATTATTATAATCATGGGATGTTGCATAATCATAATCCCTACTTTGTGAGCAGACAACCACCTATATTGGGCTCCTATCACCATAATCCAATGGGATTCGTGTGGCCGCATGAGAGTAGTAGCTATCTTCCACTACAACATACCTTGGATATTAGCGACATGGAATTTGTTGATCAATGTTTAAGGACCGACGAGGGTGAGGCTCCTAATGATGGAGATAACCAAAATCCCGATTGCACACCACCCCATTAAATGCTAATACGTACTCTTGACTACTAAACTCATATCTTGTCTTCTTTTTCTTCTTCTTCTTGTTGTTTGGAGGGGCAAAACAATCGCTTTGATTTTATGAAACTTTTATATATATATATATATATATATATTTGTGGGAAGATCATTTGAGTTTTTCTTAGCTTTTTGGCATTAAGATTTTGTTATGTTTGTTCTAATCGGTACGAGGATATATAATACTGTCTCAAATGAGGATACGTGCTAGCCTATTACTGGAGAATCGGAAATTAGGATGTATATAGATCTATGTATATAATGTGCTGTAGGCCCGAATGATTTTTCCAGCAATAATCATTTGAGCAGGCACATTTGCTGGCACAGATGCAGTTGCACTTGTTACACACAATTCGAGAGGCTATCATAACCTAACTACAAGTCCAATTATCTTCCAGAATTACACAATCCTTTCAAAACTTGAATCTTTTCACAAATCCCATTGCTCAAGATTCAGTAGTCATCACAACGCAGTGAGTAACACTTTGAGAAGATGTCCATAATTTGGAAGATAAATAGAGTTCTTACCAGTTAGACCAAAATTTTGAAGTAAAACAACAATCAGGCATTTCACGATACAAGACATAAACAAACCAGGCATATATATATAAAAGCTGAACACAGATACAAGCAAAAAAAGAGTAAACTGTAAAAGACCTCAAGCTCCTCTAAATCATCATTCTTCGGTTCAACCCTCGAGCACATGGGACAATCCCCAGCTTGCTCTGAAGTCAAAGGCAGAGATAATATACTTCCTCCATTTTCATCATTGTCCGGGATTTCAGTCTTGGACTGTAGATAATCATCAACTACTTCCGAAGAACCTTGTTGATTAACAACAGTTTGTGCTGAATATTGCTCGCTCACAGACTTATTATCCACAGCCAACGAAGCAGATAAATTCGCCATTGTGCCACTAAACTCGGGTTCCATTCGCCTGGATTTTTCCCTCATTACATCCACACAAGTTGCCACATCACTATTATTAGCACACAATGACTCATTTGGACTAAAATTATTCTCCTGCTGTTTCCCTTTTTTCCTGGTCAAAATCGAGCTGCGGCCTTCGGCAGAGGTCCTGGCAGGTGGTGAAACAAATCCGGGTATATCCTTTCGCTTGACGTGGCACACATGAATCCACATTGAAGGCTTCCAGAAGGAGTAAGCGTACACATCTCTTTTGAAATCCTCGACTGTCATTCTTATGTCAAATTGTTCTCCATCCTGAGGGTTAGTGCCTTGTTTTCTGCGTATGCCCATGAAATAATTGTGGTGGAAAGGCTTTGCTTTGTCTGAAAATTCGCCAGGGTGAGGGTGGCATTGGAGGACTCCACTAGTGTCTCGTTCTATCTGGGATTTTTATATTGACGCAACAAAAAAATAATAATAATTGTGTTTAATTAATATGATGAGAGAACGATTGATGAAATTATTTAAATGAATAATTTAGTGGTGTGAAAAAACCTTTAGTGTGAGTAACCGTATTCTGGACTCGACCCAGCCTTTCCAGTTCATCATGTCCTCGTCGTTTTCTGTGGCTATGTCTATCTGGAGATAGTTTTGTATGCTTCGAAGAAGGCGAAAGGTTCAAAAAGGGCGGGCCAGCTGGACTTGTTTGCTTCTATTGCCTGCCAGACATGATTAACTAATTAAATAGAAGAGAACTCCAGAAACAGAAGCAATAAACAAGATGATCAGATGCATATTACAACAAATTGCTCAAGTATATGTCAACAGTAGAAAAAAAAACTATTATTGAAAAAAGAATCCAGTACAAGTATGAAAACTGAACTTTCAAAGTCCTTGAGAATGAATCAATGAAAGAAATATATTTTCACCATTACTACAAAAAATAATACCACACAATTCTCCATATAAATGGGTTCTTTACTTTTAGCTTCATTTTTTAAACTTTCAGTCCGGAGGTCAAGCTAGAAAAATAACTGTACGTGGACCTATAGTTCTGACTAATGGAAAGTATCGATACACATCTCATATCGATTGTAGCCGAGGAAGAGTCAATGAGCAACTAAATAAAAATGAAGGAAAGCCCAAATCTAAGTGCAAAAGGAAAAAAAAAAAAAAAAAAAAAACATTAAGAAAGAAAACAAACGAATAAGCAAAAAATTACAGTTCAAATATGCTAGCATCCATCACATTTTAACCAGAGAACACTATTGACTGGAGAATAGTACCTCACACATTTCATTCCCTCTTTGAAATTCCTCCATCATGACACGTAACGTGCTTGTCGACACATTGAAACTAGAGTTCATGCAGGGATATGCAGGGGTTATTATGGGCATTAGGTGTAATCTGTCCTTATAATTTCTCCTAGGATCCCAAAAAGAAAGTCCTAAAGATCCTGCTTGAATTGGACAGAGCATAACTGGATTAGGCCACCGCCACAAGTTATACACTCTAAAAAAACGAGACACCAACATGCCAGGCAAAGCATTTGGGTACAATTGGCAGATGCGAGCAACAAGCAATGCCCAATTAATACCGCCAAGAAAACCAGTAACCTGGAAAAATAAAATAGCAGCTCAAGTGAAAAATGTAGTAAAACAACATCCAGATGCTCATGTATCGAATATTGACATATGAAAGTTAANAAGGTAAAAAAAAAAAAAAAAGACACCAGTCAAAGTTACTCACGTTTGAATAAACCCCACGTCGCTTTGCCCATAGCCTCATACATCGAAGTGTCGTTTTGAAAGTCTAAACGATAAACAGACAGTACAGATTAGATTTCAGAGATTATTAGAGAAACAATTACTTTAATGTTTCATTGTAAGATTCACAGGCCTCAATATTTGGGACGAGCCGCAATATTTGGTCAGTCACTTTACAACCATTGAGACTGCGAACAGTTTGATCATCCACATTTTGCAGAATCGATTCTTGAGAAATATCCAAGTCCTACGAGCAGTCCGATAGCATGACATGAGAAAAAAATCTTATTACAAACTTAAAAGAAGTTAGTGGGGATACACTCTTGAAAGACAATCCTTGCAGCTATATATAGTGAAACAAATGCACGAATATAATAAAAAATCGAAATATGCTTCACTACTTCAACTCAACAGTGTTCTTTTTCTTTAATTTCTTTTCCTTATCTTTCTCCGGGAGGGGCAGGTGGAACTAAGAAGAAGTTTTCCAAGTCAACAAAATATTTATTCAAAAAGATAATAAAAAGGAGTGATGGAAGCTAAAAAGGAGACTTCACATCGAACTGAACAGAGTTTGTTTAAAAGAAGCCTAACGGCAAAGTGATTTTGCCATGGAAAGGCATCAAAGTTAACACAAACACGTGCACTCATCAGAGTACTTCACAATACCAGAATAAAAAATAAATGCAAAAAATACTGAAAAACTGGTTAATACAAAGAGAAAAGATTCATACTTCGGGAATAACCCATAGCGACACATTTGCATAAAGTAGATCTATAGAAACACCATTGAACTTGAACTTCATCACAGGAACATGAGCCTCTGGCACCGGCCACCGGGTGCAGTTCTTGTACTTCAGGCATCTCGGAGAGCATTCTGTAAAGTTCACCAAAGAAGTCTTCCTGTATGTGACAAATCACAAAGTTATTGCCTCCATTCAAGAAGTAACAAAATCAATAGAATATAAATCTAAATAACCTACATTTCGACTGGCATGTTTTGGTCCAACACATAAGGTATCAATATCAGCACCAGGCCCATGAACCTATGATTAGAAAAAGCAGCCATAAGTCAATCCACAAAATGATGTATGGTAACCTTAGAGAACAGATAAAATATTTGTACAAGATCGGGACAAAATTGTATAATCATACATCCTTCTTTCCAGTGAAACATTGCATTTGAACTTTTAAACTACCATGTTTCAGCCAAATAATCAAGGTCATGCACATGCAATCTAACCATCTCCATCCATTCAGAACCAGCCAAGTCAAACTTTTAAGTCTAAATATTTCATGCATTTGAAGTTGTAAATATGAATTCTAGTCTACAATCTTATATGAAATGTCATATGGAAAAAGTGTTTTTAGCTCTCTTCCCTTGCTGCATACAAAGCCTATAAAGCTCAAATGAACACATAAAACACTATTTGTATCCCCCTCAGAGGAGATTCACAATGGCCTGTACTAGGCGAACATTCACCTAACACAACATATACCAGGTCCACAAAAGCTCCAGCCGACTAATCCCTAATCACAGAAATCTAGCTTTTGAACTTTATTTTTTCCAAATTATTAGATTGTTTCGATACACCTTGATCACTAGGATACTATCCCAAAAGAAAACTCAAATTACATTCACTTGTTAAATAACTTTCTTATTCACGCCCAATCACTACAAGTTCTCTTGCCAACGAAATTCGCATGTCACAAAAACTTTACGTGAAGGCATGAGTTTTGCTCTCCATTGGTCAGAGTAAGAAAATTATTCATATCTTCCAATTTTTGGAAATAGTTCGCAAATTTAAGAAATGCAAAAGCTCCAATAAGCAAAATTAAGAAATGCAATATCTCCAATAACCACCAAGCGGTTACCAAATTCAGTCTGGCTGTCCCTCTGTATACAGAAGATCTGGCTCCAATAAGCACATGATTTTACAGAATATCTCTTGAAAACAAAAAAAGGGGTCTCCACAAAGTACAAATACATTTATGAATTACCCACAAAAAATAAGTAGTTGAACGCATAAAAAGATATAACAATGCAAAAGAAGATAATAGAGCAAAAAGGTTCTTACACCAAGCCGATAAGAACCAAACGTGAAAATCTTTGCGTTAGCCTCATGAACTATTGACTCATTATAACCTTTGGCACGGCTAATATTTTTCACCCACGTCTTAACTATCTGTAAAAAAATAAAAATCCGATATCAGTAATTTATGCATGAACCGCTGGAAAAAACACAAGGTATTTTAAGATTGCAACATGTGACCTGATCCAATCTACCAAGAACTTCCTCTCTTTTGACAGATTCTTCATGACTTTCATACAAACCCGCATCTCGAAGAAACTGATAACAATCACAGGAACATTTACAACCCACTATCACTTGATAAAGTTACAGAAAATTAAAAGTAATATACAAATGTATTTCAATCGACAATACTCTCTCACAGGTAAAATAGAATAGAAATTTATCAGGACACAAAACAAAGTTCCTCAAAGTCATAGTTGCAACCATATATCCATTCCTAAAGGAAAAGGATAAACAAAAAGAAACTGGGTTTCCAGATATCAATGGCGATGCATCATACAAGCTACGTCAAGAAAAAGTTAACCCAGGTTTCTATCTCTGTATCTTTGTTAGAAGGTCAAACTGGAAACAAACCAGTTGCAAGAATTGTAAACCAATGGATGCTGATAAAAGATCTAGAGTTTACGGGTGGCAAAATTAATGTTTGTATTACTTAGCACTATAAACTGATTTGTACAATACATTTCAGGTAAGATTCATTGAGAATTTTCTGTGTATGCTGATTATGCTGGTTGGTTTAATGATGTCAATACAACAACAACTACAACAACAACAACATACCCAGTATATTCCCAGCAGGTTGGGGTCTGAGGGGGTCAGTTGTACGCAGACCTTACCCTTGTAATTATACAAGGAGGCTGTTTCCGTAGCGACCCAAGGTGCATTGCGCCGTTTGATATATTTTTTTTTTTTCTAGAAACTTCACTAATAGAAGAAGCACTAGAATTAAATTGAGCCATTTTGATCTAGTCCATTATTAGCACTATGCTAGGAGAATTGTCAACAATGACCAGGGAAATCAATAGACATGGAAAACTTTAGCCAGTTTGGAGAATGGTAATCATACATACACTAAAATAACTTCCTGCAATTAATTTACAGTTCCACTAAACGTATCTTTAGCTCCCACGATTTTCATCTCAGCAGATTAAACTAATATTCTCTATTGCATCTCTGTTTTCTACCAACCAACTTCCTTGTAGCAAACTAGCAATCAACTTGTAAAGGCAATATATCCACATAATCGTGTTAAAAACAGCTGCACTTCCTTGAAAGTACAAAATGATTTCACAGCAATTGTTCAGAAGACAAAGTCATTAGTTTAAGAAACCTTGCTCTTCACCTGTCACTACCCAAAACAGATTCATCAACCAATATCAAGCAAACAAATACAAGTAAAACGCATGCAAACAATAGAAAGAACCAACCTTTTCCAGTTCACGAGTCTTTATAACATCAAATTCACTGGGACCACCAGTTGAAATTGGCTCAGATAATCCAACGCGAGCTGCAGTAGCCAGATTACTCGATCCAGGGCTACCCATCAACAATTTTTACCGTATTAACTTCTTTTTTCTTTTTCCTTGTTCTTTTTTTCCTTTCCTCTTTTAATGAAATACTAAGTCACAAAGAAACCGAAGAAAATAACAAAAACAATAGAAAAATCTCTCCTTTTTTTAATTTCCAGTAGCAGTCAAGATCAACACTTGACAAACAAAAATTATAATGATAAATAACACAATCAGTTAACTAGAGAAGAAAGGGAAACAGTATCCTTGCTTTTTTTCATTCAATTCCAGGGATGCTACAGAGAGGGAAAAACATACAACCAAATCGAGAACAAAACCCCTGAATCATAAACAAAGCTCTCACACTATAGCTCTCTCTCTCTCTCTCTCTCTCTCTCTCTCTCACTCTATCTGTCTCTCTCTCGTCACTTGGGAGCGCGAAACAGATATTAGAACTCGCATATCATGGCTTCATTGAACAGCTGGATATCTTGAAATCCTACACCCCCTTTGCGTTAACTTTGACATCGACATAGTCCCCTATCTTATAGACCCGGAGATAGGTTGATAGATGAGTCGGACCCTTCTTCCTGATGGGACGGGCAAACAGAAGACAGGAGAAAATGAGAGATAGAAGAATAGCAAGCTACCTCGACTACTCGTCGCCCAACCTCTAAAGGGGTGGTATCCATAATTTAAAAAAAGCAAGCATTGTGATCTTACTAAATAATGTTTCTTTTATGCACTATGGCATCATATCACAGATCATGACTCTAGCCTACGGTCCTATTGATGTAATAAAAATTGTACCATTCTATAACAATATTTTATTGTGTTATTCCATTAAGAATATTTTTTTTTTATTCTTTTTTTCTATTGTTTACTTAGATCACGTTGAAACTACGAACTAGATAACATAATTTTAACCTATGATAAATCAAACCTCATTCACTTTAGAGAGCAACTTTCTTTCACCATTGTTTGTCTACACAGTACCAAATTTTAACTTGAAGAAGGAAAGACCAACAAAATCAAATACACAACTAGATTTCAAGAAACACAATTGAAGGAATCAACAACATAACATACCACATAACAGCAGACACAAAATTGTTACTGAATGTTATCATTTCTAATTTTTACTCACATGTAAAGCTAATCGTACAACTTAGAGACAACACAATTGAAGAGAAATAACTGAACTCACCAAAAATCGACAAGAATATATATAATTACGTGATTAGTTTATATGGCATCAAACATGATGTTTTAATTGTACTTTTGTTGTTTAACCAAAGCTAATACATTGACAAAATACAAAAGGATATGCTTGTAGATAAGTGGTACCTTGGTTGTTGAGTAGCTTCTCAAAGAGCAGCTGCTTTTTCGCCAAACTATGTGATGTTCTTTCTGAAATGTTGCTTATATGGAAATGGATGCCAGAATCTCCTTTGTTGACATCAAAATACCATCAAACAAGTCAGAGTGATGAAATATAATGCACTCCTTCAAACAAAACGTAATGATAATTAACCTGAAATAGAAGGCTTGTCTTTTCAGCTCGAGCAAGCCTTTCTATAATTCTTAACAACAGAGTGTCTTGCCACAGACAAAATTGTACCTTTTTAATCAAAAATATTACAGATCACGACTCCACAAACATAAAAAAATAAAAATAAAAATAAATAATAAAAATAATAATAATAATAATAATAATAATAACTAAAAAAAAAAATTGTACCTTTTTAATCAAATTTTTGACACCCCATACAAATAAGCTGCTCGAACTTCGATCGAAGCAATTCCACACGCAAACATAAAACTTCGATCGAAGCAATTACCCCTCAACATCTATTTATTTACAATCTTATACCATATAAATTTGCATTTCACTGTTTCTCTTGCCCTAATCTTGCAATTCCGCGAGCAGAGGGATCTTGCTATCTTCATCATCGATTATTTGGCCAAGAATTGTAAGCTCCCATGTCCCAGCCCAAGGCCCAACCAGTGGCTGCAGTTATCCAACAAATTGATTTTCCGGCACCGTCGACGACAGACAGAGAGATGGCTGCGACTGGAAGCTGTAGAACCACCACTTTCTTCCTCCTCTCCGCCCCAAAACCACCCCCTCCGCCGCACAAATTCTCCCCATCACCAAAGCATTTTCACCTCTGTTCTCACAGTCAATTTCCTCTCTCCGCATCAGCCAACCCCAAATTTTTACTTGAAATGACTTTTGGAAAATTCTCTCTCGGCAGTGAAAATAAACAGAGGTGTCTTTGCAAGATTGGTAATGTTTATTTTGGAAATGTTTATTTCTTTGTTTTGGATGCTCTGATTTGGAAATGTTTAATCTTTAATTACTTGAAATGAGTTTTGGATGCTTTGCTTTTGATTATGAATCTTGGGTGTTGTGTTTCAGACTCTCTTGCTGAATGAGAGCAATATATTTTATGGAGTGTTGCATTTTTTATGAATAGAAGGGCAATTTGGACATCAGGTCTTATTTTCTAATTTAGTCCAACAAAGTAGTTTTTAATCCCAAAATGTAAATAGAAGACAAATTGATGACGTGTAAAGTTGGCTGTATTATTTTGTCTAATCCTGTCCATGAAAGTAAATGAGGCCTAAGTTGATTAAGATACTAAAAAGATTCCAACAAAAAAAAAAATGTGTCCCTGTCCGTTAAAGATTCGGTTTTGCGTCCCGATATATTTTCTGCTACAAAATACATAGTAATTTTTATTTTATAATTAATATTACAAAGCAAATTGATAAATACAATTGATTATAAACATATTTAAAAAAGAAATAATATTTGGATGCTAACCTAATTCAACTCAAATTCTAATCTTTGTATAAATACAAACTCTGGGGTCTAGTGCTCGGTTGTAAATATATACATATACATATATAATATCCCTTTCTTGGCCAAGTGATTATATTCGACCTAAATCACTATAAATAGTACTCATATATGTTTAATCTTTATTAAGAAAATAACAACCATTTTTTTATAGCTCTATGGAGAAAAATAACAATAGCAACGAGCAAAACCAGGTAAAGGATGATGGAGCTTCAAATATGAGACAAGGGACGCATGAATTAGCTTCAACATCGACACAAAGGTCGCGTTTTCCACCAGGCTACCGTTTCATGCCCACCGACCATGAACTCATCGTTGACTACTTGATGAAGAAAGTCAACAATGACCCAATTCCAGTTGATGAGATGAGTGAAGTTGAACTTTACCTCTGGTCTCCTGAGTCCCTCGCTGGTAATTTTTAATTCTTTTTTTTTTTTCCTTTTTTCCATTATTAGAATTTTAGCATTATGTAGTTGTTTGAAGCAATGTAGTAATACTTCCATGTTCTTTGTCTTCTTTTTGTGATGCAATTATTAGTTAATCTAATTGGTTACTTCCAATTACGTAAATCAATAGTTCAAACCGCACTCAAAGGTAGGGCATTTCCCATTTTTATAGGAACTTCTGTACCAGAAACAATGGTATCTCCAATTGAACCTTCACAAACTGTTTCTTTTTAAGAACCAAAAAGATTTGTGCCAAAATAACAGATGCCAAGAAGAACAAAAGCCCTTGGACACGTAATGGATCTTTGGTACTAGCTAGAATTTTAATTTTATTTTTTAGTTGTTTGTTGTCATGCTGATGAAATTCACCTGTACTCAGCGAAATTATTTTTGTTGTATTGAACTAGCATGTGAAGAGAGAAAACATATATAGATGTTATCAATCAATTGCTAATGAAAAGAACTGATGAACATTAAATTTGGATATGGGGTTTAAGTTAGGTCAATGCTTAGTGTTTAACAAAGTAATTATATACATCCAATTCATACTATTATTCAAATTCCAATTTTTATTTCAGTTTTTATTTTGGGTGATTGAGGGCAAGTTTACATTACTACTTGAAGATATATAATGTTTGAACATTGATTGATGTTGTGTGTTTCAAATAATTAATTTGGGTTTTTTTTGAAGAGAGATACCCTCAACTTGGGGACAAAGAATGGTACTTCTTCACTCCGCGTGACCGTAAGTATCCTAACGGGAGCAGGCCGAGTCGGTCAGTCAAAGAAGGAGGCTATTGGAAGGCTACGGGTGCCGACAGAACAATTTTCTCAGGTCGTGGCGAAATAATCGGAAGGAAAAAGGCTCTTGTTTTCTACATGGGAAATCCAAAGCCCGGAGAAGGAAAAAAAACCAATTGGATCATGCATGAGTACAAGCTCAACACTCCTTCCAAGAGCCCCAATTGTAATGATATGAGGGTAAGTGCATGCCTACTCTTTTTTGTGCACTCAATATTGGTTTTTCATTAGTTACAAAATATAGTCAATATCTTTTACGCGGTGACAATAGTAACATCAACTTTATGAATTGACAATAGTATCCAATAACATTTAAAATTTTGGATTAAATTACCCAACTACAACCAAATTCAAAGGCTATTATTGCCACAGTGTAGAAAGATACTGACTATATCTCTTGCAATTTATCTGTCGAATTTAGCCGAATTTGAGTAATAACCTTAAAATTTTAAAGGTTGTTGGATTCTATTGCTAATTTGTAAAGCTCTATTTTGCAATTTAGCCTATATGTAGGGTAATTTCTCTTTATGTCAATTAATATGCCTAAACGTCTCAAGGGTGTTTGGTCATTCTATGTTTTACCAATTTAATTCTTGTAGATTATTTTTAGAGTTCATTCTTATGTTTTAACCGCCTCTTCTTATTTTTGTATAAAAAATTTTTGGGTAACATAAATTTAGTATAATTAATTTGAATGATTGGCGCAGTTAGATGATTGGGTCCTATGCCGGATCTACAAAAAGCCGGAAAGGTCGAATAAAAAGCAAAGGGATGTCGATGACAGTGTTCCTGACGATGAGGAGTCCAGCATGCTGGAGTCCCCATTGTTAGGCGATAACAGTGAATTGGAAGACGACAACAAAGGCAATATTGTGATCATGGAAGATGACAACAAAGGCATTGTGGTGATGGAGCAAATGGCCGAACAGAGTCCGATGATCACGAGCAACGATAATGGCATTAGAGATGTGAATGTTTACCACCAAAACCAGTTGTTGTCGGACAACAGTTACCAGTTGTCGACTAACCGTTACAGCATGAACTTCCCATACGTAGCCGACCATTTTGGTAATAATATTGAACATTATTATAATCATGGGATGTTGCATAATCATAATCCTTACTTTGTGAGCAGACAACCACCTATATTGGGCTTCTATCACCATAATCCATTGGGATTCGTGTGGCCGCATGAGAGTAGTAGCTATGTTCCACTACAACATAACTTGGATATTAGCGACATGGAATTTGTTGATCAATGTTTAAGGACCAACGAGGGTGATGAGGCTCCTAATGGTGGAGACAGCCAAAATCCCGATTGCACGCCCCTCCAGTAAATGCTAATACATACTCTGACTACTAAACTCATCTTGTCTTGTTCTTCTTTTTTTTTTGTTGTTTGGAGGGGCAAAATCTCTATCTCTATCTCTATTATTTTAAAAGGACCAATGAATCTGTAAACTTATGTTTTGCCTAAAATTAACCTTACTTTGCCAAATAATTTTTTAATTTAATATTAATAATACAGTCCTAATATTAATAATAATAGTCTTAAACCTAATTATCTATCCACAAATCCTACAACAAATCGACATTACCGATTATCTGCCCCCAAATTTTCGGCCCGCCCATTCTCTCTGCCCAAAAAAACGCGCACAGCCCCAAAAAATTTCCATCGGGGAAGACGATGGGATCGGAGTTTCTTGACATTCCATGTCGGTCATCTTCACCAATCCCTGGTAAGGTTTTTTTTTCCATCGGAGAAGACGACGGGATCGGAGTTTCTCGACATTCCACGTCGGTCATCTTCACGAATCCCTGGTAAGGAAGATCGGAATTTCTCGACATTCCACGTCGGTCATCTTCACGAATCCCTGGTAAGGATTTTTCTTTCTTTCTTTTTTCGAGTTATAACCGGGTTTTTCACCTCTAAGAAAACAAAATCGGACAGGATCGAAGACAAAATCGGACAGGATTAAATAGGCCCAGCCCAGCCCCGCCAACGCGTCCTCCGTCGATCGATCGAATATCCTCTCCATTTATCTCACTGGTAAGTTTACGTATTTATGTTTGATTAAAAAATTCCGATATGCTCATGTTTCTAACTTTCTATGGTGTTATGTATTAGGGTACTTAATTGTGTGTGTTGATTTTATTTACTGCCTTTCTAACTTTCATATTTGATAAATATTCACCAACTGAATTTGATGAAAGAGGGAAGAGAAGGGAAGATAGTTACACCCTTTAATGTTACAATAGTGGTTTATTAGGTTATCTAATTTTCAATGTGATTGATTCGTTTACGGGGAGATTTAGGAGTCACCAATCAACTTTTATTCTTTCTTTGTGGTACTTCGGTATGTGTTTGCTGGGTATGGTGACTCATCAATATAATTTGTCTCTGTCTCTATAGTCGCTTAACAATTATGTGAAGTACAAGCGAATCAACAAAACATTACGAGAAGGGGCACATTCATTTGGATAATTTACTTTTTATAAGCTGAATCGAAGGAGTAGATTGGATAGTTGTTACTTGGTAACATACTTTTATATTACAATTTTGGTGGTTCCTACTATGGATATTAAATTTGAAGGACGATGCTCCTTAATCTGCATGTGAGGTCATGTGATTGCAGTTAAGGAAACTCTTCTTTTAGCGGAGCTGTGGAGTCGAAGGTAACTGTCTTGTGATGTGAAAGTTTATTGTTCCAGCACATTTACATTTTTCATTAATAGTTACTTTTTGATATAAATTACACAGTTTGCCAATCATTTATCCATCATATTGGTAAATGTTGGACACTACTTCCATTTTATCTGTCATTGTCAATAAGTGAGATAGTTAATGCCTTGCATGCTTATAATATGAGGACCTAGGTAAGTTTACACTCGGCTTAAAATATCTCACCTTTGGGCAAAAATATTATTGCATTGGTCTAAAGTATCTTGATCTCGACTACTAGGATTAGACAGATGTTATAAATTGCTAGAGTTACAATTAAATGTAGTGTACAAACATACAAACATATGAACTACAATACTTGTAATTTAAAAAAAGTAAAGATGCTTGGAGGAGGAAACCATAATCAATTTTGATGTTATAGCGATAAAATATTTAATGGTAAATTCCTGCTTTGATGTACAATAAAGTTTGCGGCCGTTGCTCTAAATTTTACGTTCTTATTATATTATGTTATGTTGGTATTTGCAAAGGTCTATTTTGAAGAGTTTTGTTCTGCTTGCACATAACTATTTGCAATAAGTTTTGTCTGTCTTCTCCGCCTCTGCAAAAACGAACTACTGAAAGCATCAGGAGCTTTGAAACTTGGGTAAGGTTCCAAAATAACAAAATGACCATTTTATTTCTTCTTTAAAAAAATTAAATGCAAAGACATATTACTAAATAGATGAATATTGATTGCTTAAGACATCTTTTATATTTGTTATATTTATAATAGTAAAACTATAATCACAACGATTAGTAAAAGAGATAAAAGTGTAATTTATAGAAAAATTATAAGCATGAATAATAACAAATAAAGTTCAGTTAACTAAAAGTAACTTAATGTAATTAATATATTTGAACTAGAGATTGAAGCTCCTTCAAAGATTAGAAGCCAATTGATGTAATTTATACATCTAAAAAGAAAAGTGGGTTTCACTTTCTTAAAAGAAAAAGTTGCTTTTTGCATATATAAGAACACACTCCTATCCACTTTAAGATGTAAGATAAGGATATTGTTTAAAAACAGGGTCATGTAATTTAATGAATGGCTGTGTTGACGCCTATACCCTCACAAGTTTGAGTTATGCTATTCGTATGGATTTAAATGGGTGCACCGTGAGACCGACTAGATGTGCAGAAAATAAGGGTTCTTGACCTGCTAATTATTCGTTACCTTTTCACTGTTGAAGGTGTCACATAAATCAAATTCGTACAGGAAAAATTGGAATCAATTAGCTAAAATAATATCCAAATTCTTAAATCTCAAAGTCCTTGATTTTGTACAAGAATAATATATTTCATTTATATTTCATTTAAATCTCAATTGTCCATTTTTCTGCCAATTACTGTTATACCCTGAGGCCAGGTCATCAAGACAAGAACGAAAAAGCAATTAAGAACAACAATCTGAATTTCGACTTAGCTCTTTTAGTCTTGATAGAAAGTGCTCAAATTTTCAGTTCAAAATGCTTGGTATTGTTATTCACCTCATATTGAAACATTTGGGTTTGCAGCATATTCTTATGACCTCCAAATATATGCATTTACTGTATACCTTAATTATCTAATAAAAGTTGAACTGAGGTATTTTGCTTAAGTTCAAAATTTATGTCTTGTAATGAGATGTCTTTTTCTATGCAGCAAGTGAAGGAAATTAATTTGGGTTTCGAGGTATCGATTTCTCACCAGTGAGTTGTTCAATGTTTATTCCCCTTAGCTTGATAATTTTAATTTTTTACTATTAGTTAGCATTTAATTTTGTTTTTTTTTATTTTTTTTATTAAGTGTTGATAATCTTAACTTTTTACTATTAGTTAGCCTTCAATTTTTTTCCTTTATTAACTACCAAATGAATGTTAAATATTAAGTTCCTGTTTAATTAGTTTCTATCATGTTGAGATGGATTTTACAGTGGTGAGTTATGATGTTGAAACTGTCTCGAATTTCCTTAGGTAAACATGCCAAGATTAAAAGTCAATACACTTTGTAATCGAAAATTGAATCCAAAACACTCTGCTTTGTTCAGGCACGTACGTGAAAACATATTCTGAGGGATAAATTTAGAAAATGGCATTTTTTAACTACACCTAATGTGGACTGTTTTTTGTTAATAATTTTTAGCTTTAATTACAATCATAGATATTTCGGAACCAATTTACAATCATACATATTGTTGGGTGTATTTATTGTCTGGGAGTATTTATTTACAATCATACATATTGCTGGGATTATTTATTTACAATCAAACAATGTTAATATCAATCATACTTTAATTTTTATAATCCATTTATTTGAATGTACTTTTCCTATATCGATTTTCATGCTAGATTTTATAATGCTAATATATTTATTTATATTTTAATGTTAATATATTTATTTGAATGCTAGATTTATTAGCCTTTGCTATGGGTTTGTAATGGTAATCTTTCATCAAAAACTGTGTTTCTGGTCATAGTTTTCTTAAAATTGAAACCACAAATTATCTCGACAACATATTTCTTTACATTAATTTCTATTTTAATTTCACTTCTCTTGCTAATGTTATATTTTATTTTTGCTTTTTAATTAATTTTGTTATTCTTTGCCAAAATGATTTGGTTTTTAAAGGATCTTATCAAGTTGCAGCATGAGTGAAAAATCATCAACATTTGATTTGTCAACAGGTAATTAATATATATATATATATATATNTTTGTCCCGTTTTATTTTTTATTTTTGTATAAAAATATTATATATATATATATATATATATATTATACATATTAATATGCATTTTTTTCATCTATTATATCATATGATAATTAACTAATTGAAAATTCATATTAAATTATTTATGCAGGTTATACACCATAATAAATTAATAGTAAAACATTTTCATTATATTATTTATTTTACATTAATATATATATATTTTTTTAACATTTTTATTCAATTGTATCTATCACAGTGAAGGATGTATATCGGCGTCGAAATGCAACTAAGATGAAAAGAAGATACAACGATTTAGATCCTTATCAGAAGCAAGTGTATTGTGCTAAAAAAAATAAACATCGCAAGGGACAAATATGGGCGTTGCATGTCTTGATACCGATGAAGTTTCATCTGGACCTGAAGGTTAGAGATATTTAATCCTCTAATACAAAATATATACATATTTTTATGAGATCTAAATGAGTACTATATGCTTCTTTTATACTTCAAGAATTAGTTGTTTTTATTGTTTTTTATTTTTTTAAATTAGGTTGTCATAATGCATTTACATATTCCATATTTGATGTTATTAAAGTTGTAATGGAGTCAATACTTTACTTTTGTACAAATAAAAATATAAATGATGTCTTAATAAAAAAATGAGTATGCTTCAAATTATGAAAAATATACTAACATTTGATTGTTTTCTATTGTATTTAATGTGATTTACTAGAGATATATTATTAGTAATACTCTATTATTATTGTACATAAAAAAATAAATTAGGCATTTCATTCATTTATGTGATTTAATAAATAATTGGTATTTGTCATTCTTTAGGATCAATTATCAAAGGGAATGTATGTTTAGCGGTACATGAGTTGAAAAAAATGCCCAATTGCATACATTGCGGTGCAATGAAATTTCAGTACGAGTGTCCAACATTTTGTTGTGATAATGGGAAAGTCAAACTTGCTCCTATTGAAGTGCCTGATGAATTATATGAATTGTTCACTTCACAGACGGAAGAGGCAAAACAGTTTCGGATAAACATTCGCCTATTTAATAGTATGTTCTCTTTTACATCATTAGGGGTCAAATTAGATAAAGAACTTGCATCTGCAAGACAAGGAGTCTATACTTTTCGAGCTCAGGGAGTAGTGTATCATGATCTTCCTAGCTTATTACCTAAAGAAGATGGACCTGGGTATTTTCAGTTGTATTTTGTGGAAACAGAACGAGAGGTCGAGAATAGGATGGGCATATTTCCAAACTCCTCTTTATCTAAATCTACGGTTAACAAACTCATTACCGTTTTGGATGTAAACCCATATGCAAAAGTTTTTAGACGATTGAAGGACTATCCATCAATGGATGAAGTTCGACTCCATATCTCAAAGGATGCAAAACTAGACCAACGTGTGTATAATTGTCCGACAACTGATCAATTCGCAGCAATATGGGTTGAAGGAAATAATGTTAATATTCCCTTTGAACGTGACATTGATATTCATGCACATTCAGGTGCAAGACATAGAATAAAGCATTATTTTGGATGTTATGATCCACTGCAATATCCCCTCCTTTTTCCAAAAGGTGATGTTGGTTGGCATCAAAAGATTTTCAAGTTAGCTTCTAATGAAAACTATATGCAGAAAGAAGGTACAATTTTTTTATTTTTTATTTAATTTTATTTTATATTTTTATTTATATTTAATGCTTTGTATTTTTTATATTGATATGACATTTTATTTTGTTTTATTTTATTTCCATTACGTTTTCAGATACAAATATCTCATCAATCTCAAAATTTTCTTGTCCGAATGACATCCTTTCTCATGAATGCCAAGGTATGCAATTTTTTTTTTTTATTATAATGCAATGTTTCAATTATGGACATAATTGTTGCAACAATATTTAATTATTTTAACAAAATTATGAATAAGCTATAAGTGTTTTTAACATTATATCAAAGCTGCTTTTATAAAGAATTAAATTCTTTATTGTTTGGTTAAATTTGTATTCAATATTTTTAAAAGATTTTTTAACTAAATTACTTTTTTAATTATTCATTGTATATTATTTACAGTTGTTGGAGCAGAAAGCCCCAAAAAGTATCATGCAGAGAATATAGTTGCTACAGACTGCAAATCAGAAGTCCTAGAGAATCAACACTTCTCCTTGGTGAAAGACTATTTCAGCAATATGTCGTTGACATGTATATAAAACTGGAGACAACAAGATTAGATTATTATCGCCATAATCAATCGAACATGAGAGCTGAATCATACCAAGGAATTAAAGATAGTGTTAAGAAAGGAGAGACTAGAGGAAGTGAAGTTGGAAAACGAATTGTGCTACCTGCATCATTTATTGGAGGACCAAGAGATATGCGTCATAGGTATCTTGATGCACTAGCATTGGTGCAAAAATTTGGAAAACCACATTTATTCATTACAATGACTTGCAATCCAGATTGGATAGAGATACAAGAGTTGTTGTATGAAGGGCAACGAGCCCAAGATCGTCCAGATTTGACGTCAAGAGTGTTCCAAGCAAAATTGCAAGATTTGAAGGATCAGATTCTTAAGAAGAATATATTTGGAGATGTAGCTGCTCATGTTCACGTAATTGAATTTCAAAAAAGAGGGTTGCCACACGCCCATATGTTGGTTATCATAAAGTCTGAACATAAAATTCAAACTCCTGATCAATTTGATAAATATGTTTCTGCTGAACTTCCAAATCGAAGAATCTACCCCAAACTCTTTGAGATGGTTGTGAGACATATGATGCATGGACCATGTGGAGAAAAGAATGAGAAGAATGCGTGCATGTTGAATGGTAAGTGCAAATATCATTATCCACGTGCATTTTGCGAGAAAACTGTACAAGGAAAAGATGGATACCCGGTTTACAGAAGAAACAAAAACGGATTAACAGTTCAAGTTCGCAATGCTCAACTAGACAATCAGTGGGTAGTGCCATACAATCCTTTTCTCCTATCAAGATATAACTGTCACATAAATGTGGAAGTATGTTCAGGAATTACAGCTGTGAAATATCTTTATAAATACATATACAAAGGGCATGACCGAGTGGCAATTAATGTTACCCACAATAATGATGAGCAGTTGGTCGATGAAATCAAGGAGTTTCAAGATGCACGATGGGTATCTGCTCAAGAAGCAGCATGGAGGATATTTGAGTTTAGCATGAATGATATATGCCCTGCAGTTATTAACTTGCCACTTCATCTTCCAGACAAGCACCTTGTGCCTTATCCAGCAAATCAAAATCTCAAAAATATTTTGAGTTGGGAACATAATTCCAAAACAATGCTTACAGAGTATTTCTCAATGTGCGCTCAAAGTGAAGAAGCAAGAAATAATCTTTATCGCGAATTTCCTGAGCATTATGTATGGAAGAAAAAGCCAAAATATTGGCGTAAAAGGATTAAAAAAGATGTTATTGGCCGCGTGAATACTGCAAATCCAAATGAAGGAGAAAGATATTATGAGAAGCTACTCTTGAATCACGTTAGGGGACCAACATCTTTCAAAGATTTGGCAACTGTATATAATGTTCTTTGTCATTCATTCAAAGAAGCAGCCCAAAAAAGGGGATTACTTGAATCTGATCAAAATATTTTTGAATGTTTGAATGAAGCAGTGACTTTTCAAATGCCACGCGAATTGAGAAGGCTATTTGCAACCCTATTGGTTCATTGTGCTCCAACGAATGTGAAAGAGCTGTGGAATACATACTGTCATGCAATGTCTGAAGATTTCAGAAGAGATTCAAATGCATCGGAAGAAGTATATGCCGCCAAGACTTTAAACGGTATAAACTCATACTTAGAGAGTATGGGTAAGAGTGTATGTGACTATGATCTTCCAAATATACCCATAGATCTGATTAAGATGTATGATGATATTCATAGAGAGATTCAAGACGAACTTTCGATTGAAGTGCCTCCTGAAGATTATGCAGTTGTAGGAATGTTGAATGATCAACAGCATGAAGCATTTTCATTAGTTTTGGATTGTGTAAAAAGCGGACAAGGAGGCATATTCTTCATTGATGGACCAGGAGGAACAGGAAAAACATTCTTATACCGTGCATTGTTAGCTCATCTTAGATCAAAAAATCTGATAGCCCTTGCTACCGCAACATCTGGAGTTGCTGCTGCGATTATGCCTGGTGGAAGAACAACACATTCACGTTTCAAAATACCAATTGATGTAAGTGAAGGATGTAAAGGCAGTGTGTCAAAACAAAGTGGAGTTGCCGAATTATTACGGAAGGCACGGTTAATAATATGGGATGAAGCGCCAATGGCAAAACGATGGGCGATTGAGTATGTGCATTATTTATTGCAAGATGTAATGGGTAATACTCAAGATTTCGGCGGAAAAGTGGTTGTTCTGGGTGGTGATTTTCGGCAAGTTTTACCAGTGATCCCAAAGGCTACAATCCAACAAACAATATCTGCAAGTTTGGTCAAGTCAACATTGTGGCCTAAAATGAAGAAGATTTCCTTGTCCAGAAACATGAGGTCAAGGAATGATCCTGCCTTTAGTAAGTTCTTACTTAGAGTTGGGGATGGTAAGGAACCAACTGACACAGATGGTAATATTGAAGTCCGGAAGAGATGATTGTTGCTTATGACAATGAGGATGATTCAATACAACGACTTCTGAACATCATTTTTCCAAATTTGGAACGAAATGCGAAGTCTGCTGAATACACGGCATGTCGTGCAATACTTACCCCTAAAAATGACCACGTGGATAGATTGAACGAGAAATTAATCTCTATCTTTCCAGGAGAAGAAAATTTTTTTGCCAGTTATGATGAAGCAGTTGATGATGCAAATAATTATTACGAGGAAGACTTCTTGAATTCGTTGACTCCAAATGGATTGCCGCCTCATAAATTGGTCCTGAAAAGAGATTGTCCCATAATCCTCTTGAGAAACTTGGATCCATCTAACGGATTGTGCAATGGTACAAGGATGGTATGCAGAGATTTCAAGAATAATGTGATTGATGCTGAAATTGTATTTGGTCAATATGCTGGAAAACATGTCTTCATACCTAGGATACCCTTATCACCAGCTGAAAATGAAGGTTATCCATTCATTTTCAAACGCAAGCAATTCCCAATTAGACTTTGTTTTGCCATGACCATAAATAAAGCACAAGGACAAACAATCCCAAATGTCGGAATCTAATTGCCTCAATCAGTCTTCTCGCACGGTCAATTGTATGTCGCACTCTCTAGGGGAACTTTGATGCATACAACAAAAGTTTTAATAAAACCACCCAACACGAGTTCACAAGAAAATACAAGAACTAAAAATGTGGTGTACAGACAAGTTTTACGTTCAGGTATAATTGGTTTTCATTTATACTATGATATTATAACTTATGAATATTATCTAAAACTTTATTAATATAATTTTAATACAGAGCATGACCACATGGAAGAAAGTCTACCATAAATGCAAATGTCACGGCGGTTGGGAATATAAGGTAAAAAAATTATCATTGTAAATAGCCTATTTTTCTTTTTGAATAATTGGTTGGGAATATTTTTTCTGTTTGTATTTTAAGCCATGTATCTATACTTTTTTCTGACAAGCCATGTTTTGTGCAAGTATCTTTGGCCTTTTGAGGTTTGTTGAAATCACTAAAAATTGAAAGTTACACTCAGTATTTGTTTCAATTTTACTAAATGCATTTCCACGATGAGGGAGTACTTGATAAAGGAATTTTCAATCATTATATGTCAAACTGAATGATTGTTTTATAATTAGATCTGTTTTTTATTATTGAAACTGGATCACAACAGTAAACATATCTGGAGTAGATTGGATCATTTATACGAATTTACATATATTAAATTGGATTTTTAATATTTTGATTAAAATCAATCAGAAAGAGGAAATCTACAAAGGGCACACTTCATTAAAACAAAAATGGAAACATATATTCCGGCAAATAATAATTTCTTTTTGCTTCATGCCCGATTTTGTTAGAGATAATCCGTTTCTGGAATGGTGCATTAGCAATCGAATTCATGTTTCAAGTCTTATACTATTATTCTGCCAATCTATTTCCTCCTTCTGTTCATGTCATGCATCGTGCTTAGAACAAAGTTTTTGGTTGAAATACTATTAACACAAACTAAGTAGTCGTTTATATATTTTTCAAAAAAATACTATTCAGCAACTCACATATTTATAACTTTCAGCCTAATAATTTAATATTGTATTATTTTTTATATTACATCAAAATTTTAGTTATTTCGTCATTTATATCTCATATCTCAAATTCACTTTACCTTCTTATAAACAAAAAAATTTCTAAGTTGCTCTGTAATAAGAGATTTAATAAATTTCAAGGACGCATTCCTGTGGAGGTTGAGAAGCTTGGTTTGTTGAAAAAAGCTGGTTTCATTTTGAGTGAAGCCACTGGAGTTTCTGATACTGCACAAGGGTAAGTTTAATCTAATAATTTGCATAACCTGTTTGTATTTTATTTGTATTTATATTTATATTTTTGCTGAAATAATATATATTTTTAATTTAATTTTTGATGAACATGACAGTGTCAAAGATGGGGAGAGGTGTGTTAGGCTGTTGGGATATGTATTATATTGAAGACTCTTTTAAATTCCAATGGTTTTTATTTCATTTTTTATTCCAATAGTGGGATTCTTTCTCAATATGCGATTTCTCGATGTTCGTCTAAGTTCTTGCTCTATTTAAAGAGTGCTCTGAGAAATATGAATGTTGTCCATATATATTACTGATAAAAGCTTACTGCTTCTATTTATTCCTTTTACTGTTAGGTATATTTACTTCTACAAAAAGGAGGTCCCACAGATAAATACAAAGCTGGTGCAGTGGGGGAGAACTGAGAAGTACAAGCTTATAGTAATGTCATTGCTATTTTACATATTTAGTGTAGAAACTCTTCTAAACACTGATCGTGGAATGTGAAGAAAGATCTCATTGAGCTGGTGAAGGGTCATTATGTGTCCAGATGTAGGAGAGTTGTTAGTTGGTGTTTACTCCTTAATTTTTTTTTTCTTTTTCTAAAAGGATGTTTGGATGCAATAATTTCATTCTGTCTTATGTGTCCAGATTGGTCCTTCGTAGATTTTTCTTTTTCTTTTTCTTTATCTTCTTGTCTCATTACTCACCCGAAGCTAAAATTTCAATGATGTCATTTCTGAGAATCATGTATTATAGATGTTTAGTTCATCCAAGTATTCTTTCACTAATTTCTTTTATATTAATCAGCTTGCAATGATGATTTGTGATCAGTTCCATCTTTCAAGGTTTGAAGCAAGGTTTCTGTCTAGAAGATGAACCCGATATGAACATTTTTCTTCTCTTGGTCTGTCTTTGTTTCTCTTTGTTCTAATGTGTCAAGCATCTAATTCACCCTCCAACCTCTAATTTAGCCCCCAAAATGGTAAATACGAAACAAACAATATTGAGCTTTTCTGTATTTTTTCTCTCTCTCTCTCTCTTTAATATGCTTAAGACTGTTTTATCCTTAATATGGTAAAAGTTGAATAATATTCCGTTCATTTCAAATTACTAATTTTATATTTCGAAACTATTATAATTTATAATTGTCATAGTGATGCGGAAATTCCTTCATTTCTTTTATAAAAATCACACCAATCAACATAACTACTTATATAAATAATGTATATCAAAATATCAATTATTATATAAAATTTAATTTAAATAAATTCAATATTGATTTGTAAACTGTTCACCTTTCAACTCATATTTTGAATTTGATCAATAATGAATTTTATGAGTATAATTGACATTTTCACTAAAATAATATCAAATATTTTATTGTATAAACTTATGACATGTTCGAATAAAGATTTGGACTAAAATAATTAATAGCTTAGCTCAATATATAATTAGGTAACGTGGCAAACCCTTGCGGCCAAATATGTTGTTCAATTGTTGACATAACATTACACAGGTATGCGTCATAATTATATATTTATTCTATGATTGATTGATGAAAGGATTAATGAATAGAGTTTAAGTAACTATAGGATAATGAAACTAGAAACTATTCGTAGGGACTTAAATTCTTAAGAGAAATAATCACCTTCAAATCAATATAACTGATATTAAATTTAAATCTTTAATAGTTAGGAATCCTTATTAAATAAAATTCATATAATAAATATAAAAACTTCTAATTTTATATATACACAATTCTAATCAAACAATGATACCTATTAAACCTCCATATCATAAATTGTATACAACATATATTATATATACCCTCTACATACATAAATTTATTCCAAGAGATTACAAGAAAGCAACCGTTGCTGTAAGAAATCCTATTGCAAGATCAAAGTTTGTAAGTGAATTTTCTTGGCACTAGAATAAGTATTATATATTATGTTATGTCCAATCCTTTAATATTCATCTTCTGCTTGGTTATATTAATTTGGTTTAATGGTAATACTTCATCTTCTACTTGGTTATATTAATTTGGTTTAATGGTATACTTCAACAATTATATCATGCAGAATCAACACCATTATGTCGAGCCTTACGGTAAATTCGTTAGAGATCAACCAAAGTAAATTCACGATCCAACTGAAAGTTTTAAGGACAGGCTCGGAAACACCCTGTGGACAGAATGGATCGAGTCGAATACAGAAGATGATAATGGTCAACAAGGATGTAAGTATATATTCACCAATCCTTATTTTGTAACTACCCACTATACTCATTAGAATCTGTTTTATGAATCCTGATAATGGAATTGGTTGTGTTTTACTATATATACGTATGCATGCCTTTTCTGCTTTTCTTTTTCATTGTCAGATACACAATTAATCTTGAATTTCGTTTGGTGCTTTTGGTGACACTCAAGTCAACACATTATAAAAGCAACTCATAAGCGCTATCGGCTCACGTGTCAAGTGTTTCAAATTGAGTAACAAAATAACTAGGACTATCAAGACTAGGTGATAAATATATATCCGTTGAAACGATAGCAAGCAACATGCATATTCATCAGTACAGCCCATATAAAATGACCCCAAAACAGCCATAATTTTGATCAGCATGTCCATATTGTTATAATTATCAAATTGTGTGAATTTGGTGTATGATTCTGTGATTTCAGCACGTAAAGATTTTGAGTGGATAATTCATATAAAGAATTTCACAAAAACATAAAGTACTTTGATTAGTAATTTAATTACTTCTAAAAAAAACTTAATAATTAATTAAAAATTTAAAGCCTGAGATAAACAATTGTGATTAACTATTTATTTTATTCATTTATACTTGTGCAGGGAGACCAAATTGGAGTAATAATGTTTAATGCTGATATTGATGAATACGCCAAAAAATTCCAACTCAACAATACGTATTCAATCACTAATGGTGAAGTTGGAAAAGTCAATCCCACTTTTGCAAAAATGGCCATTCATCCAGAGAAAGAAATACTTCTTAAAAAAGCCAACGACACCTCTGTAAATCTTGCTGGTGAAGATATACGATACATTATCTCCTATAATTTCACCACGTTCAACAACATCAATGTCAAAAATCATGCGAACAAAAAAATTGGTATGTATATATTGTACAATATGCAAAAATTAAATTCCTATAAACTCTACTCTATTAATAAAATTACATTTATATTTTTCTCCAGACATATGTGGGATCGTAATGAAGGCCAAGGAAAAGGTGGTGACAAAAGCAACCGGAGCAAAAACAACCATAAGAGAGATAACCATTATGGATCAAGAGTACATATATTTTTACCTTACAAATTTACAATGCTTTATTAAATACTCATAATAAGCTGTATACTTCTAATACACATATAGATATATATAATAGAAAAACTCCCATAAATACACTTCAAACATATAATATTTATAATTTACAAAATATTAATAATAATAACAAAGTTTTAAATTGATTGAATTTGTAGGTATCGATCCATTATAGTCTCTTTATGGGATGACATGGCTCAAAATGAAGGATCCATTGTACAAAATATGGTTGAAGAGAGGCCATTTATTGCAATTAGCAATTTGATATCACCAAAGATCTACAACGGTAACGTAAAAAGCTATTACATTAACAATACTTTATTTTTATAATGCCTTAAATTATGTTTGTACATAATGGTGTGTATAACTTTCTCTACATTAGATTATGCAGCGATACACAATTATCATGCATATTGATAAACAAATTACAATTACATGATTTAAGATGTTATTTATAAATAAAAACAATGTTCTTTTCAATTGTTTAATTTATTGGAGTAAAGCTGTGAGTATTTAAATTAATTTTTAATTCTTATTACAATCATACATATTGTTGGGAATATTTATTGCCTGTGAGTATTTATTTAATAGATAACTAAAACGAAAGAAAAATGATTGTTAATATTTATTCCACTGCAGCATGCATGTTTAAAATCATAGATATTGCTAGGAGTAATTATTTTAATTTTACTCTCCCATACACAACTATTATGTATCATCTTTTGCTCTTATATTGTTCACATTTAATTGAATAGGCCAATTGCAAATGCAAACCAGTGCAGCATCTCTTCTTCAAATAAACACGGCGTGTGAGGAAAACAACCATATGCGTATATGGTATACTCTAAATTCTTTATACGATATAAAAAAAATATCACACTTTACTTAAAAAAAAAAAACCACATACTTTTTGTATTTTTTTAGGTTACAAACACATGGCAGGCCTGTGAATATAATTGAAATGTCAATGGCACGAAAAATGAAGGATTTGGATAGGATCACCTTGCAACAGATTTACTACAATCGTGCAGACATAATTGAGGTAAATTTAACAAATATCATAAATAACCAACATATTCTTTGGTTGAGATATCTATATCAATAAAAATGGTTTGCAATTACAGGGAAAGAACTATTGTTTGAGAGAATTTGTCGACAAGGTAATGAACAAAACATCTCTATGGTATGAATCATGCACAAAATGCACCTCCTCTGTTGACAAGAATGAAGGCAACAAGATGTGTAAAAAGTGCAACGATGTCGTGGAAACAACTCCAAGGTAATAAGAAAAAACAAAAAAAGTTTACACCTTATATTTTATATATAAAACACAATTAAAACAATTGTACTATTTGCAGATATAGGTTGGTACTAAATGTCGTAGAAGGGAACCTCAGTGGAACTATCACACTTTTCGACGATGTCGGGATGATTTACGTGGGGTGTTCTGTTGCAGACTATATTAGATCTATTGAGCAGGTAAATAAAATTTACAATTAATACCTCAAAACCATCTTCAAATACACCAATTTATAACTCCAATCCATCTTCAAATAATCCATTTTAAGTTAAATTCCGTTCCATATTCATTAGGGAGAAGAATCATCCGGTTACTATCGAGGCTTGAGCTTGCAATCAACCACCGAATTTCAATTTCTCATCAAAATAAATCATAAGTCCTACAACTCAAGAGGAGAAATGAACGTGGTTGCCGAAGCAATAGCAAGATTAAAACCTACCAATGAGGATAACATGAACGAAAGGTCATCAGAATCTCCCAAATCTCTAAGTGATCTGCAAAAGAATCAAGGGGCGCCACAAAAAAAAGCAAGTTTTAAGAAAAAAACGCGTCGCTGACAAGATAAAGGAAGACGACAATGATAGTGTGATTGAAATCGAGGATAATGAAACAATCAGCAGCCTTAAAAAGAAGTGTGCGCGGAAAAATTCAAAAGGAAAGGGAAAGAAGTCATCCTCTCCGATTATCAACATAAAGAAAGAGAAGAGTTGAAGACCATAGTTACTTCTTTAGATCATTTAAATTTAAGAACATTCTTTAGTTACTGTTTAAATTTAAGAACAATCTTTTGTTACTTTTTTGCTATAGTTCATTTACTTTACATTTTAAAAAAAATCCATCTACTATCTATTTTATCTTAGAAAATTAATAATTTATCCCGACCACTACATACTTTCTATTAAGAAAGAATTTAAGAAAAAATAGTACTATAAAACAAACAACTCCTTGTGAAATAAATTATAAAAAAATAATTTTCCCGACGTGCATCGCACGTGTCCCTTACTAGTAATTATAAAGGGAGATGCATATGGGATTATAAAGGTAGCAATAGGTTACTTGTTTGAAATTGTGTTCCTATAGTTTCTCCATTTCAGTATATATAGTCGCTTTGATTTTATGAAACTTTTATATATATATATATATTTGTGGGAAGATCATTTGAGTTTTTCTTAACTTTTTGGCATTAAGATTTTACTATGTTTGTTTTTTTGAATGTATTTCTATATGGGAACGAGGATATATAATACTGTCTCAAAATGAGGAGACGTGCTAGCCTATTACTCGGGAATCGGAAATTAAATCTATGGTCCTTATGTGTTGGAACATGTGATATCTATGCATATTATGTGCTATAGGCCCGAATGATTTTCCAGCAATAATCATGTTGAAAAAATGGAAAAGGAACACCCAACACACATTTTCGTGTGCACTTAACTTGAATGAAGAGCCAATCCAAGTCGAACTTCAAGTCTCCAACAACTTAATATTTATACAAGTATTTCATGTTCATTGGAATTTGGATATAAAGTTGAATTGTGCTTTATAGTTTATCCAACAACAAAAAATCTTAGTTCCATGGCGATCACAGACATGGAATGATTACTTTTTTATTATTATTATTATTATTATTATTATTATTATTATTATTATTATTATTATTATTATTATTGACAAAATGTGAATGAACGTTTCTATTAAAGTGAGTTACGAATCAGAATGCTTATCATGAAAATATGGCATTTGGGAAGGATCATGCACGACTCTTACATGGCCATGGTCGTGCCAATCAAATGCATTAGACGAAGAGAAATTTTAAGGCATTTTGTTCTCAAAATGTGGATAATAAAAGGAAAGAAAACTACTCACTAACTACTATCAACTTTAATTTTTTTTCAACTCACCATATATATATATATAACTACTACTCTAATAGTACATGGCCCGTAACTCACCATAATATATAACTATTAGTACATGGTACGTGCAATGCAAGGTGAAACAATGTTACGATTATATTATAAATTAAATATAAAAATAACATTAATTATTAAGACCATTCGATTGTAGTAACTCATGCTGCTAATTGTTATAAATTAAATATATAAATAAGATTAATTCAAAATCGGACCAAACCAAAATGTCTGGCCGGATGGATTGGTAACCGATCTGCTCCTGTTGGAAAAAAAAAAGAAAAAAGAAAAAAAAAATCAAGAGAATCGATCAACACTAGTTGGTCGAACTGGTATGGTTTGCGTGATTTTTAAATATTTTTTTATATTTAGAATTATTTTTAATATAAATAAATGCATATTAAATGAAATAAAAATTATAAATTATTTATAAATTAGATTAAACATTTAAAAATTTTAAATTATTAAGATATTTAATTAGTATTTTCTAAATCAATTTATTATAAGGAGAACCATATATATTAATATATCAATAAGTTATATTGGTCCAACAAATAAATCATTAAATAAATAACTTAATCGATTCGAACAACTGTCGAGTTCTGAGAACCTTAAATTTATCAATCATTAATAAAATTTGTATTATAATATCATTTTTTTCTTATAAATATTTATAAAATAATATACAAATATTCATAAATGATTGAACATGTGTTATAAAAACATTCTTAATATGATTATTTGGAGTTTGGAATACATTATATTTAATAAAGTATTTTAGTACAAAGATATATTTAGTTTCACTAATAGATTGTGTCTGACCAAACTGAATCATAACTTAGTCACCTGAGATCGACCTTAGTTGTATAATATTTTTAGACTATTTTATATATGATGTAAA